AGAACTCTTTCATCATCTTTCTTTTTTTAAAAAAAAAATATATATATTTTTTATTGATTTTTTACAGAGAGGAAGGGAGAGAGATAGAGAGTTAGAAACATCGATGAGAGAGAAACATCGATCAGCTGCCTCCTGCACACCCCCTACTGGGAATGTGCCCGCAACCCAAGTACATGCCCTTGACCGGAATCGAACCTGGGACCCTTCAGTCCACAGGCCGACGCTCTATCCACTGAGCCAAACTGGTTTCGGCACGCTTTCGTCATCTTTCAGGGCTGGTTTTCTATAGAATACACTTTCAGCTATATGGTAGCAATGATATGATGATACTAAAAACTAGAAGCCCAGTGCACAAAATCATGCATGGGTAGGGTCCCTATGCCTGGCCAGCTATCAGGACTGATCAGGTTCCCCGCCTCACCACCTCCCTGCCTCCTCTTTCCGTCACCACCCGCACGCCGCCACTGCATGGTTCCCCCTGACTCCTCACCTCCTCACCTCCACTGCTGGTCACCCTCCATGTTCTGCGCCACCCCCAGTGCACGTCATAACAAGCGATCAAACTTCTGGTCTCCCAGTCAAACTCCCGAGGAGACACTTTGCATATTAGCCTTTTATATATATAGATATTGGGCATGACTGGCTGATGTGGCTCAGTGGTTGAGCTTTGACCTATGAATCAGGAGGTCATGGTTCGATTCCTGGTCAGGGCACATGCCTGGGTTGCGGGCTCAAGAGGCAGCCCCATCAATGATTCTCTTTCATCACTGATGTCTCTCTCTCTCTCTCTCTCTCTCTCTCTCTCTCTCTCTCTCTCCTTTCCTCTCTGAAATCAATAAAAATATATTAAAAAATATATATTGGGCATGTACCAGACACTATGCCAGTGATGGCGAACCTATGACACGCGTGTCAGAGGTGACACACGAACTCATTTTTTTGGTTGATTTTTCTTTGTTAAATGGCATTTAAATATATAAAATAAATATCAAAAATATAAGTCTTTGTTTTACTATGGTTTCAAATATCAACACATTTCTATATGTGACACAGCACCAGAGTTAAGTTAGGGTTTTCAAAATGCTGACACGCCAAGCTCAAAAGGTTCGCCATCACTGCGACTATGCTAAGGCTTCAAAGATATTATCTTACTTTATTCTCACAACTTTCTAAAATAAACATGTTTTATCGCCATTATGTAGATGAGGAAACTTAGATTCAGTTTAAGCCACTTAGCCATAAGTGGAAGAGAATCTGACTCCACAAAAGGAACCATATCTATCAATTAATTCACCCTAAATGTGGAATTTTGACTTTGCTCTCACACGTGCAATTTATGACCATTTATTTAGCTCTCACTATATACCAAGACTGTTGTTATTACTGTAAGCATGGCTATTATTATAATCAATCTAGGTGTTCATGCACAGAAGGTGAAACTCTGGTGCATTTCTGAGGTCCTCATGGGATTTTAGAAGTGTGTTTGCCAGCACCCACACTGAGAAACGTCCGGTGACTTGCAGTGCTGTCCTGTCCTTGTTGCTCTGTGCATGAATAATGGCAGATAAACTGCTCAGCACTTTCCCCTCTGCTTCCACCTTGTTTATGCTGCAATTGGAGAGGGATTAAGTTTTGCTAATTCCACACAACAAGCTAAAGCCCATTTATCACAATTTTCCATTCCTCAGCAAAACATACAAACGCACCTAAGTGTTGGGCAAACTAAGACATGCAGCTGCTGTTGTGTGGAGCAATAATGGCCTGTTTATATGCAGGCGCAGCTCAGCAAGAAGAATACAGAGGGCAATGGTATCGGTCTCCCTCCCGCCTCTGCCTGCTGCGTCTGCTTGCCCACTGGCCTGCCTCTGTGAAGTGCGGAACGGGTGGGAGAGGGAGAGGAGTGGGTTTTAGAACATGGGACACAGAAGCTCATTTCCCAAAATAATGTGCTAATTACTAAGCAGTATTAATGCCGCTTGCTTAGGAATGTGGATTTGAGTGGGAGTGGTTTAGAATTGGAAGAGTTAAGCTAGAGATGGGGGAAGGGAAGGAGAATAGAGTGTGTGTGTGTGTGTGTGTGTGTGTGTGTGTGTATGTTGGCTTTCTGTCTTAGAGAGAGGCTAGCCAAAGTAATTTCTTCTCTTCAGCTTTTCATTTATTTCAAATGCCAAACCTTTAAAGCAGGCTTAAGATTCTTCCTAGTTATAGCACAACACTGATATCCTGCTTATTCTAAAAGAGCTGTCAGCTAGGAATTAGAAGTTTAGCAAATAACCTGTCTCTAACCATCCTAACCATCTTCGTCCTCTCTGGGTCTCCATTTGTTCCCAGTAAAGTCAAGGTTTGCATTAGAAGATTGCCTTTAAAATATCTTCCTATTATTATTTCCTTAATTGTGATAATGTGGAGAGAGCAAGAGACCTTATCTTTTAGAGTTGTATATGAATTTGTAAGGTAGCTGAGATTTGCTTCAAAATAATCCAGTGGTTGGGGGTTGTGGGGAGTGGATGAAGGTAGAAAGGAAATGATAATACCGTCGATTTATGGTCATGGAAACAGGTGGTGGATCCATGAGACTTCATTTCTCTAGGCACACATAATATGCATATATACACATATATACAGATATGTGTGTATACATGTCATCCAAGTTTCAACGTGTATGATTTTAAAACTTAATATTTTAACTTGTGCCATTTGTTCATTTACTTCTTGTGCTATTGTTCTTGCCTTAATTCTCTATCTGAAAACTATCTTTTAAAATTTCTTCTATCCCTCACTGAAATGCAAGCCCAGGGTTGAGTATATATGAAGTGTGTGTGTGTGTGTGTGTGTGTGTGTGTGTGCGCGCGCGCATGTTTGGCGAGTGTGTGATAAATGACTTGGAGTCAAGTCTTGTCTTCCACTAACTAGTTCTGCGCCCTTTGGAACAACATTAACCAATGGGAATCTCATCGTTTTATCTGTTCAGTGGAGACCATAGGTCCTGTCTTCCATTTGTGAGTCAATGTTGATGTCTGTGACTAACAGAGGTGTTCTCTGCTCTGATTTGGGTGGGAATTCTGAAGTATTTCTGGACTCCTTTGCTGATGGCATTGTGCTTTCTAAGTACCTGAAAGAGACCTCTATTCTGTGATTTCAAGCTGAAGCCACATGTGCCGTGGGTGTTCCCCTGCATCTTCCACACACAGACCTGCAGACTCACACCTAATAGCTTAAGTGCTGCTTGACTTACAGAGGAGAGAGAATCACAGGGGTGCCTCATCTTAGTGCTTCCTAAAGGCTGATTCTACTAACACAACTGAGCCTGTTTTCTGGGAAAGAGGACTTGACTTTGTTTTTCACCAAATGATTTGGTGTATGGACTATACTTCACAGTACATAGGGGTTATTGAGTGGCTGGGCTGTTATCCTACAACTAGAGGCTCGGTGCACAAAATTCGTGCACTGGCGGGGGGAGGGTAGGGGTGTCCCTTAGCCCGGCCTGTGCCCTCTCACAGTCTGGGAGCCCTCAGGAGATGTTCAACTGATGGCTAAGCCAGCAATCGGACATCTTTAGCACTGCCCTGGAGGCAGGAGAAGCTCCTACCACCACTGCTGTGCTCACCAGCCGTGAGCCTGGCTCAGGGCTTCTGGCTAAGTGGCACTCCCCCTGTGGGAGCGCATTGACCACCAGGGGGCAGCTCCTGCATTAAGCGCCTGTGCACGTCATAGCGACTGGTCGTTCCACCATTCAGTCTATTTGCATATTAGCCTTTTACTATATAGGATAACCAGACAGCCTAGAGCAGCCTCGAGCCTTGTCAGAGACCATCCGTATTACAGTTACCTGCTCTTGAACTTTAGTGACCAAAACTTTGCACTTTGGGCCCTTAACAGAGAAAAGCCAGAGAAAGTGGTGCTTAAAGGTCACCCACATTTTTGAGTATCAGGCTTTGCTTCAATTGATGGACATTAAAAGGTCAGCACTCAGGCTTCTAAGGGGTACATGTTGCTTGTCTTTTATGCTTGAGCTATGCTATTTTTGCAAAATGTCAGTTTTCAAGAGGGCGAAATTTAATTGGAAACAAAGTTTTAAAGTACAACAGGTTTGACCCTGAGATGGAAGAGGTTTGGGAGTGGAGAGAGATGTTCCCTGGACCTGCAATCTAAGGGCAAGCTCCAGGTAGGAGAATCTTCTATGGCAGCAAAGGCATCTGTTTAGTCCCAGAGGTGAATTCCACTCACCTAGAAGGCCGCTGCTTCCCAGCACAAGCTGTCAGGGCTTCCAGAGGTTGTAGAAACCACACCCATCGCACACCCCTCCCCCAGCCCTTGAGATATATTCACTAAGCTACCAGTTTTCTGTGTGTAAAAAACATTAGTGTGTTCTGTGACTACTTTTCAGTTCTTCCTTTCACATAACAATGACTGGGATAGCAGTGAGAAAAAAATGGATAATTCATATACATATTCTTTTCGTAGATTTTCTGATTATCTGCATTGCTAAGAAGGAAATGCTTGCATTCAGATTATGGGAAAATTGGCTAAGTATATTATTATAAATATTGATTAGAAAAAAATAGCGGCAGCAGTAGTGATAAAAGCTAATATTTATAGAAGATTCATATGTGCCCAGCGCTGTTATCAGTGCTTTGTATGCATTAACTCATTAGATCCTGACCAAAGACCCATGAGATATGCACTGCTTTTCTCATCTCAGCCCATGAGGCACATTAAGTTGAAATGATTTGCCCAGGATCCCACACCTCGCTCGTGGTGGAGCTGGCCTTGAATCCAAGTAATCTGGCTTCACTGCCCCTCTGTGGCAGGCCGGCTGGAGCATTCTGGAGGCCGGGACAGGCTCTGACACACCCATGTGTCAGCTGTGTGACGTGAATCTTATATGCAGGTCCCACGAGGTTTTCTGGGACTCCCCCTGTCTCTGGGAGCACCGTGAGCCTCCCACGGAGTCCCGCCTGCCCATGTCCCTGCTCATGCCCATGCCTTGCTTCCCCCAGCCCCACTGATCGACCTCACCCCGACCCACAGTGGATCCGCCATGCTGATGCTGCTCTCCGTGGTGTTCGTGGGGCTGGCCGTGTTCGTCATCTACAAGTTTAAAAGGTACGTGTGCCTCTGTCCTTGGCTCCCCGCCCCCTTCCTTCTCCGGGACAGGTTCAGAAGCACGTGTCGCACGTGATGTCCGTCTCCCGCGCATGGCAGTGATGGTTTCTGTTAATGTTTTAGGAAGATCCCCGGGATTAATGTTTATGCCCAGATGCAAAATGAGAAAGAACGGGAGATGGTCAGTCGAGTCAGTCCCACTGAAAGCAGGCCCCATATCTCTCAGACTGAACTGAGGAGGCCTGGCCCGCTGATAGATGAGAAGGTGGAATCCCAGCTCATAGGTAAATGATTCCCAGTAGCTGTCAGCCCTTCAGCCTGAGTAGTCAGTGGCTGACTCTCTCTCTAACCCCTTTCTGGCTTGACATAACCACTGTTTTCTACGCTAACATCCCTCAGAGAAGCAGCTAAGATACCTCCTTCCTTGCTTCCTCCCCTTGGAGTGAGGGAAAAAGCCTTCCTGCTCCTGTCTAGTTGTCCTCCTCCCCCTCGTGGCTTTGTTCCTCTTTTTGCAAAACCCCTTGCTAAAATGTTGGGCTATAAGCTTTCTTGGGCAAAGAGCAAAACATTGGCTCTGACAAGACTCGGGAAGGGCTGGCCCCAGAGGCTGGCCCTGGTGGCCTGGAGGGCCGGGCAGGGTGTGAGGGACGGGGTACGTGACGACCAGAACAAGATCTGGCAGCCTCACCTTGAGACCGCTTTAAGGAGGGCGTCCTGCCCTAGAGGAGTGACAGCCCGATCACCCTGGGATTTTTTTTTTAAATCTAGCAGTCATCTAAAAATTGTCCCCCAGAAAACACAGAACCTGAGAATTTTAAGGACAAGAGGAACCAAGTTTGTAGAACATCCCAGGAGTGGGCTTTCCTGAGAGAGCTACTGGAGGGTTAGATGGGCAGCTCTCTTTCTCCTTTTTCCCTGCCCCCTACCAGAAGTGTTAAAGTGGACTTTGTCATATATCAGTAGAGCCTGTGACGTAAGCATGCACATCCAACAGCTAGGAATAGAGTCTCCAGGGTGACTGCGAGACCCTCTTATTTATGGCAGAGAAAATTTCCCAAGAATTTAGACAAATGCGTGAGGCCACCGTTGTGACCCATTTCTCTTCTTGTTTCCTCCTGTCTGTTGGCAACAGGAGTTGAAGCCGTAACTGTTCCCACCTAGACCCTGCAATGCTGACTCCGACGGATAAATTACTATGTAACCATTCATGCTTCACTCTAATGTGATGATGCCAAGCCACCTAGCAGGCCCTGATAAGATGGTCACTGGGGGGAAAAACGAGTACCTAAATGAAAACATCGCCCTGTCTTTAAACCGATAGCGGACAGCCCCGTGGCTGTGTTAAGAGGAAATTTAAATGCAATGACTGGCTGGTGCTGGGAGTAATAATAACCACTGCAGCCACGGAGGGTGTCCGGCTTTCACAGCTCGCTCTCTTTTATCTGGGGAGACAGGGCGATAAATGCGTAATTGCTTTGGGTTGGAAAGAAAAAGGCCTTTCTGTCTGCAAGCCCAGAGAGGCGTTCACCCTGTGTATTCACTGCTGGAGCTTCCAGGTTGCCTCTCGGTGGGGTCATTTGGTTTTCAATCCCATTTCCACGGGGTCCGAAGCACAGCCGCTGTTTTCCTTTATCCAAGTAGCCCGCCCTCCCTCGCCAGGACATTGCAAAGTCTCTGACACCTTTCTGTTTCCAGTGTCATTAAATGAGTAAGTGTTACACGTTTTCTCTTAGGAGAGTAGCTTTACCCTCCCCTCCCTCCCCTTCTGCTCAACCTGGTGACTCATCTCTCCGATTGCAAAGAGCAAGACACGCCACTCCACCTTCAACGCCAAAGCGGGGATCTGCTGGGGCACACTTTGCAATTTAAGGAAAACCCCCAGAGGCTCCAGGCGACCTGCTTGCCACCCATCAGGAAAGGATTTCGCTCTTGTCAAGTGCATCACCCTTCATGACCACTAACTCTGTGTTTTCTTTCTTTCCTCTGTTGTTCTGTTTCCTATTTTGCCAGGAAGTATTTCCATAGTTGCTGAGAATCAAAGCACAAACGAAATCCCTACCTATGTAAATGTTTGAATGGAGGACGCCAGTAAAAACAAACAAAAACAAACAAACCAAACAAATAAAGTAAAAACAATCCAAATCCAAACAAACAAACACTCACTGCATCGGGACTTTTTAATTCTCCAGACACAGACAACAAGGGTTGTTAGCTTTAAGCCTGTGCATGTGGACGGTACCTTGAGAACACGCTCCGAGGGGCAGTGGACAGGTGCTCTTTTCATGGAAAAACACTCCCCTCCCCCTCTCTTCTTCTCTCTCTTTTTCTGATCCGTCGTGTTTGTAGAAAATTCCTAACATGTACAGGCCAAGGAAACCTGCATGCATTTTTGGAACTCTTCTTGGCTCTAGATTTCACAGCTATTTCAGCTCTACCGGCTGATGGGTGGGTTAGCCGCCCCAGCCCCTTTTCACAAGACACCAGGACATGCACAGAAGTTTGAAACCCTGAGCTATTTCTCTGTTCCATTTTTCTTATTGCCATGTCCACTTCCAAGTTATCTGGTGGCTGTGTTGGCCAGCAGTGGCCACGAGCCTGCTTTCTGCATCCTGTGTGGCCATGGGGATAAAGCTCTGAGTTGAAGTTCCCTGTATGCAGGCAGAGTAGGGAAGGACAGCTGGCAAGGGCAAGCATGTCAGAAGTGGACTTGTGTTTCCTGTTCAGCCTTTCCGGTTATGACTGCTTCCCTTGCAGCTTTCTTTACTCCTCCTCCAATTTATAAGGAAAACAGAATCTTAGTTACCCATGGATCTGCCTTCCCATTTGTTTGCTGTCCCCGTGGTCATGATCTGTAGATGTCTTTGTATCTCTCCCTTCCAGTCCCCAAGTTACCCTTCACCTGTTCCTGCCTTTTCTTCCCAAACATGTTGCTAGATTCTGGACCTTAACCCTGACATTCCCTAAATACTGGCCTAGCCTCTGCCACCCCTACCTCCACCGCCCACAAGTTCCTCGTCACTGTCAATTTTGGACACTCCCAAGCATGCCAGCTTCCGTACTCACTGACCAACTGCATCCTGCCTTGCAGGGTTCAGCTTCATGCACCCTCTGTCTCCTCCTCTTCCAAATACCCTTGTCCTCTCCCACCTGGACACATACCATGTGTGTGAAAGAGTTGGTATGTCTGCAAAGCAGTTCAAATCTGGCCATGCGCATTGGCAAAGAAAGCATTCCGATGAATGGTGGTATCCTCACACCCTCACAAAATTCTCGTGCAGGCAGGTTTTAGAAGATTCTTGTGAGAAATGTTTTGAACATGTTACTGTATGGCAGGGCAATTTCCTTCTGTGATGGTTGCTGTACCAGTATTTCTTGTCTCCCAGTAGAGTAAAAATGTTTGTAAAATAAAACCGTTTTCAGCAGAAGAAGCAGGTTAATGGGTTCAATGTTCAAGGTCTGAAAATATATAGAGGTCTTGTCTTACATGAGGATGACATTTTGATTGTATAAGATGATCCCAGCCGTTTCACTTGCGTGCTCCCAGATCTCTGTGTATCATAGGATTGACAAAGGCAACATGAATAGCATAAAGGGGAGGGGTTAGCCCACTAACTAAAGCAATTGGCTCAAAGCATGAAGAAATTCCAGTTTTCCCCGGGCAATCAGGAGAGAAGGCCCCGAGAAAGAAGGAAACGAGAGTATGTCCAGCAGAAGCCCTTGGAATATTCTGAATTGGGCAAAACCCACTCTAAAATTCAGGAGAAAACAGTTTTGAAAAACTACTCAGAGCGCAGCCTCCTTCTTGCTCAACAACAGGGTATAACAGGGCTCTGGGTGTCCGAAAGATTCTGAGGACCCCGGCCCTTCGGTAGCCCAGGCAGAGGAAGACTAGCAAAGCTGATGTTAGAAGTTAATCAAGCAGAAATTTTTATGGTTGAAGATGCCCTCTATGAATTTGGGAACTGGATTATGCCTGAGGCGGCCACCTATTTGTAGAAATCGATTACTCCCTGACCTGCCAGGCTTCCTATCCCATAGGAAACATCCTCATTGATCCTCTTCAGTTGGAGCCTCCCAAATTGAATCTGGAAGACCAAGTGTTTGGGAACCAAAAGAGGCCCAGGGAGTCCTCAGAGTTGCAGTTCTGTTCATTTTAATTGGAAAATGATGAAAAAGGGACCAACACTCAAATCTAGCACAGTGCCTTGCCTAGAGTATCTATAAAGATGATTATTTGTTGAAGAAATAAATGAATGATGACATGAGAAGACATAGGGAAGAATGGGCTTGTAAGTCCTAACGAAGAGCAGAGGTGAACATGAGATGCTTGGCATTCTGGGAAGTGACCAGAGATGGCCAGCTCTAGATGCAGCATCTCCCAGGTCCCCATGTGCCTCTCCTGCCTGTAGGAGATTCAAGAGGCAAGGTACTGCTCAGTAGGAATCTCATTGTTCTTAAGATCTAGCTCCGTGTTTCTCAAAGTGTGGTGCTGGACCAGCAGTATCAGCATCACCTTGGACCTGTTAGAATGCCAGTTTGGGGTCCCCACCCCATCTCTACTGAATCAGAAACTCCAGGGATAGAGCCAATCAATCTGTGTTTACAAGCCCCTCAGGCAATTGGGAAGTACACTGAAGTTTGAGAACCACTGTTCTAGGCCATTCCAGCTCAGTCCCCGAAGAGAACTTAGTAATAACAGTCTATAGTTGGGAGGGACCCAAGTGCCTACCTACTTGCTAATAGCAGGTGCAAACACAAGGCAGAGTGTGGTGGGCTTGAGGCCAGAAGAGTGGGAGGGGAGGGATAGATGTAGAGGGTAAGATTCAGGGCAAGATAAAAATCTGACATTGCAATGTTTTCCAAAATATCAGAAGGCAAACTGTGCATGCCCTACCCTGAACTACCCAGCCCACATTTTCTCCCTTGCCTTATTCCTAATTGGGTTCCCTGTCCAAAATGCAGAGGTTTGCTTTGCTTTTTTTTTCCAGAAGTTCAAAACAGCAACTTTGAGAGCAATGGGGTGCTTGGCAGCTGTTCTGTGTTTTTCCAGGATTCCAACTGAGCATTGAAATCCCTCATTTGCCAACTTATTTTTATAGGAAGCCAATTTAAAAAAGAAATAAAGTTTTCTTATAGTATTGGAACTACTTCTAATTTTCAAATGACTTTTTTGATGTATTTTTTTTGTTAAATACTATGTAGTGTAATGTATAATTGCTCTTGTTTATTGCTTTTACAATCATATTTATTAAACAGATAATGTCTCTAAAGTCTTGGTTTCAAGGTGTTTATTTTATCCCAAACCTTAATATTCAGTCTTGATATAGAAGTGATCTACCTCATTGTTTCTCAAAGTGTGGTACTGGACCACACCTGGAGGATTTCATAAAGGCTAATTTTATGAGATTATTGTAAAGGTCACAGGCTGGAAGGGTGATTGATTGATTGATTGATTTTTCTATTGTTTTGTTTTTTGCTAACAAAGTAGAATATATTCTACCACCTGAATTCTGTCTACATTTCAGTTGACTATATAATATTTCCTGCTTTATTCTATTTAAAAATCACTACAAACTGGTTACTTTGAGATATGTAACCTGCTCATTAGAAGTGATTATTATGGAACAAACCCATTCAAATTTGTTCATAAGCTTGGAGTTACTGAAGGACCAAACCTGCTTGAAATGAACTTGGGGAATGGTAAAGGCTCCCATGGTAGTGTGAAATTGCCTTTGAACCTGGAATTAAGAGAGCGGCGTTCTCCTTCTGGCTGTGCCAGCTGTGTGACTTTGAGCAAAGCTCTTCAACATTCAAAAACTTTAGTGTCCTCATGCATCTCATTTGAAGAACCAAGACACCCAGCTTTGATATTCTGAGTGGGCGAGTCATTCCTGAGAGTCTCAAATAGCTGATTTAAACTGGGTGGATTGGCCTTGTGGCTTGCCTAACACATCTCTGCTTGGGCAATGTTTTGCCTTTATATTTGATTGAAATATGTGTGTAGGCACATAATATCCTCCTTAGCCTTCCCAAAGAGTCATGAGGCTCAGCATGCAGGATTCCTGTTGTTGTCAGGTGGCCTTTAACCTTTCCTTCCCACAGGTTAAATCTGCCTTCTGAACCTTCCTTCTCTTCCAGGCCAGAGCCTATGCCGCTGTTTCCCACCAGGAGCAGTTTGTCTCCTGTGTCCCTGAGGGTCCAGGCAGTCAAGCAAAATCCTTACTAGAGATTTCAAACAGAGGGGATTTGATACAGGGAGTTTTTGCTTGAGTAACTGAATAGCCAAGATGCAAAAAGGGGGAAAGGGAGATGACCCCAAGTTTAGCATCAACAGGAAGCCTTTACCTTCCCTGGGTTGGAAGGACACAAGGATTCCCAGAGGCCAGGACCTAGGACCACCAGGTGAAGGAAGGATGTGTCTGGCAGTTGTTGGAGCCATGGAGGAGACACGGAGGACTACAGGACGATAGTCAGCTATGCTTCCCAAGCTCTGGACTCCATCTCCAGTGGATGCTTCCCACTGAGCACTCCCAGCCACCAGCCGGGGGCAGGGGAGCCTGGGAAACGTAGTTCCCTGAAGTACAAAGCAGAGCAGGGAGCAATGGGGAGTGGACTTGAGAGAACACAGGCAGGTAACTGGCACAGCACCTTCAAGTTCAGTCCACATGAAAGCCAACAAATCTGCCCCAACCCAAAGGCACTTATAAACAGTAGATGCTGTTTCTCTGTGACATTCTGTCATATAGTCCCCTTTAAACAACATGGATTTAAGACTTGGCTTTGTGTTTCTGTGCGCCACGTTCTGCCTTTCTCGCCGGGTTCTGTGCTCATCTAGGGGAAGATCTTGATTTACTTTTCATCTCACTGCTTCAGCCTTTAGCACTGGACATTGCCATTAGAGGGCACTAGATAAATGTTTGCTGACAAAACCCCGAGTTTTCAGTTGCAGGTATTGGGAGCGAGTCCATTTTACTTAGCAGCGAGCTCCGAGGGGTCATCTTGGGTCTGACTCCCAGTTGTTTGTCAAGAACACATGCTTACCCTCCCTCTCTGTTATCCCTCCAGCTGCTGAAGTCAGGAAGCTATTC